TATCTCGATTATTTTGTGAGGCGTCACGTTCGTGTGATGCATTCGCATCGTCCGCCTCGACTGACTGGTCTGAGCGTATGTGAAGATTTATTGCCCGCTCTTGAATGCACTGAAGAATAATTACCCGTCTTTCAACAGCCTTCCTTGCCTACATAGCTCCTCATTGATCGCACCACCGCACTCCTGCGTTAGTTGTGACAGCGTTACTCTGAAACGTGTTTCTTTCGTGTCAATGACAGCTCAGCAGGAACTGATGTTGGGCCACACAGTCAAAACTGTCATTCCCAAATATTACTGAATCCAAATTAAAAAGCTTTTCTCATAGGAATGAATGCATCAGCCGCAATTTAATCCAGATTTCTATTGAGTCTTATATTGATTTGAAATGTATTCCCGATTTTTTTGTAAATTGCGATAGATTATTAGGGATCGTTAGGTGGCAAATGGAGATAACAGAAGCTTTAGAGATTAACAGAATATATAGCGCGCGCTATTGTTCAGTCATGCTAATTGAGGAGTATAATTGATTCAATTCGACGAGGTGTACAATCATTCAGGTCAGGCTGGAAGAACAATGGAACGTTTGCAGCAACAATAGTGGAGCGCGGCTTGCTGTGATTAACAGACCACGAGAATGAGACAGGGCCTATACATTCAAAAAAAGTGAAGAGATCGTAAGTTCATCAGCCAATCATTGACGCCTATCGAGCAAAATCTACCAATCATAGGCTAGAAAATAGGTCGTAAGTACTTACGTTCACTTAGCGAAATTTGAAAGTGTACGCACAGAACTTCAGCGCGTTGTATCTTTACTCGAGTTTATTTCGCGCCCCATGATAAATTATATGTTCAAGTTCATCCAGTATAGCAGCAATTACTTTTCGGATCGTGGCCCACCATAAGTATAGTTCCTTCAGCTGGTGCACTATGCGACCTTGCGTGCCATATAAGGGTAACCAAAATGCGCATTCTGCTCATGCACTCGTCAGTTCTAACGTCCTTACTTTGCGTCAGTTCTATCGAGACATTGATTTGAGGATAATGCAGATACTGAACTTCCTCACCAGAGTGCTGCAGTTCGAACAATTTCCTGTCAAGTTGATCTCGACTTTTTTTGTAGATGTTTGATTGATCTCAGGAAGTCAAAATTTGTTTGTCGTGCAGTCGGCATGAAAAAGTGTACTTATTTATCGAACGCCGCCGGGCAAAACAACGAGTAGTGCCAGAAGAAAATCGATAAAAAAAACTTAAATCGATAAAAAAAAGAAACTACAAGAAGGATCTTGGTGAAGCACTTTGAACGATTATATTTCCAAGTTAAGCCAACGATATTTCAACACATGCTTTAGTGAGCAGCATAGTTGTGACTCGAAGCAGCACCGCTTTGGAGGCTTTTTAAACGTAGCATTAACGTAGCCCATTTTTTATCAAATACGGCAGATTCCTTAAAAATTTCAGAGAATAATGTTATAATTATATTATATATGTTAACTTAATTATTAGTAGCCCACGCAGCGCAGCGTAAAACACAAGCGAACGAAAAAGTTAGTTTGCTGTGGTCGTAGGCTCGACTGCCTCGCACCCTAAAGAAGAATACTACCTCATCACAAGCACATTTTAGATGTAAATATTTCAAAATTACCTGGCAATGACCATCAGAAGCCCAGCAAACCAAATTTACTCAATCTGTCAGTACTCTTTTATTGACATCTGGCCTAGAATACAAGTCTGTTTTTGTATTTTGTCTAGTCGACCAGAGTTTTGAGAATTTTTGCGTTTCAAATGAAGCGCTACAGTAAAATTTATCTTTATAATTCGTGTATGCAAAATTACACCATTTATCAATGATAGGATAATTCACATTTCCTATGAGTAATTTGGCTCCTAGAGGCAGCGTAGATCCGCGTTGATCATCAACAAAGTCATTCCCGAATACGCGATCTTTTTGCCAACGTAATTTATGGGGCAGACATTAGGCCTAAGCGTAAAATGCCTGATCAAGCAACCTCACACACAGGTACGGTATAATTTCCAGCATGGGTTGATTTTCACACAACCCTTCATTCAAATTTTTACAAATTCACAAGTAGGCCATCAACAACTCAGAAAAAGCTACCTACGTTACTTCATTGTTCGTGACTGCACTGTTAAACATTGAGATTGTAAACAAAGTTTAATCGTTGCACGAAAGTCTAGGAAGGATCAGTTGTGTGAAAAAAGTTACACAATTTTTTTAATATGACGAACGCTAAGAAATCTTTTCCAGTTCCAGCAAACCTACTAAGTTATCTGGTTTTCACATGAAAGGCAATAACGTAAAAAAAATTCGATGCATGCAGGGGTTCGTTCACTATTATAAAAGGCTCATTGTATTGCTCAATCACATGGATGTACTATATGAAAATTTTTACATTTTCAACGTTGCATGACTCAAGAAATTTTATCTCGACTGATTGGAAAGCGCAGCTTCAGCAGAGACCGTCGCTAACACCCTCACATCAACAAGTCAAAAGCAACACTGGCGTCTACACTCTACAGCGGTCAACCTCACGGAGGTCGACCTGTTGTTTGGGCCTCCATATCGTCAGGTAAGATATCGCTATAAATTGAAATAAAACCCCCTTTAAAATGCCCTCAGTAGTTTAATCCATCATTACTATCAAAACATCTTAAACTCACTTCCTTGATAGGCTTGTTTCAATAAATCCCAAATTTATTGACGTTACCACATACCACTGAAGGTAGAGTAATACCGGTTGCCAGTGAATGAATGAGTCACACAATCACCTGTGCCTTTCGCTGGAGGAGGGAATCATCGCAAACAAAATTATATTTAATTACTTTTGAATTTTATTTCTGCTATGTTCACGATTTTGGCATGATTTTCAAGGCAAAATTTCATAATTTTATCGGTTTAATTTGCAAAATGGTTCGATTTAATCATTTCGCCTAAATTTTCGGTTCGTTAACCAGACGCACTTCTTACGATACACCAGAACATCGAAGAACTATTGTCTATTGCAGTATTACCAGCAGAATTTTGCTCAGCTTTGTGTAGGCATAAATACGTACCTAACATTTCGCTTTCACCCTCACAACAGGGCTCTGTCTGTAAGGTGGTTGTCTCTCATGCATAACCGTAAGCAATTTAGGCGCGTACATAAACGATGCTCTGTACACGATACTTTCTTCAGCCGGTTTAGTATGAACTTTGCTGCTCATATTTTGTCGTGTGAAGTAGGGAAAGTTGACAGTCAACAGCCCGGTTTGCTGCCCGGGAAAGAAGATACAAATTGAGTATATATGATCCTCATCATCAGTAAATTTCAAGTTCTTACTGATTATTAGCACATACGGATGAAGATGAAATCTTGGGCTGTGAGCTGCCAGAAAAATGTAAAAAATTTGATGAAATGTTCAGTTAGGACGCATCGGGTAGGCATCGAAAGTTGCCAAATAATTTGATTATAGAATTGCCCCCGACTAATAGGTCTTTCGTGTGAATAACAAAAAATACAATGTTGTGCAAAAAAATATCCATGCTGGATTTTGCACTGTCGTGCTGCTTTTCACCTTTCATTAGGTAAATGCTGTCTGTGTTCAAGATAGCCATTTGACGGATCCAACGCAATGAATAAGTTGGTTTGGCACTCGCATGGTAATGAGATTAACTTAATTTAGTGAAACGTAGTGATAAAAAATCTGCAGTTGTTTCGTGTCGCCATTTGCGTCAACTTGCGGGCATGGGTTTATGCCATTAGTTCGTATCTGTTCGTTCTACATTAACTATCCATACAGTAGTGGCTTCTTCATATTTATTTCTCTTTTTCTATTTCTGGATCATTACCACAGTTCTTTGTCGTGTTCTTCGGCCTTTTTACTGCTGAATGATTTCATGATTATATCATACAATTTACAACAAACTACGATGATGAACCAAAACAAAGGGTATTGTGTATCTTTTAAAATAATGATTGGGCTTAATTAAGTCGGTGATCGATCATAATTATTTTTAAGAGTTCGTCCCATAAATGTAAATCTAGTAGGGGAGGTCTATTGAACGTCCCAGAGTCCCGTCTATTGGGCGTCCCAAGGTCCCGTCTATTGGACGTCCCAGAGTCCCGTCTATTGGACGTCCCAGTGTCCCGTCTATTGGATGTCCCAGAGTCCCGTCTATTGGACGTCCCAAGGTCCCTAGTCCGTCGAGGGAGCTTCCAAGTGGCCCAAGATAAGGAGACGCCTCTGATATTCCTAGCCGGATGGTTGAAATAATTCAACCCTCTTCTATTTCCTGGACCGAAAAAAATTCTGTATTATTTCCTAAATTTTTTCTTATTTAGTCGATGTAGATTTAGTCTTACTCTAGCCAAACTGCTCTTTTCTAGAAAGGATGACGTTTTATCAGAAGATTCTTCAGATCGACGCACTTAGCACCGAGACCATTAGTTATACTTATTTCTGACTGTACATGTCTACCATCTAAAAGTGTTCTATGAATTTTCTATTTAGAAATATTTTGGGGACAAACTCCTCTATAGTGATTTGTGCTGTCGGCTGACTGTCAAGTCAAGGCTCTCAATTTATAGAGAGCCTTTAATTGGCAAGAATAAAGCCAAGAAAAAACTTTAGAAACGAAATAGTAATAATATTGAAGAATTATCACTTCAAAATTTTGGTTCCTTGTATTTGTTTTAGGTCCGAATACGAACATAACGCACCGAAAATGTTTGATTCTTCTATATGACATATGTTTGTCATGACTCCGTCGCTTACATGGTTGAACTTATTGCAATCATGGTCGCTTGAGACTTGACGTATATGTTCCAAAATACATGGGACTGTTCAATAGAGTACTTAGAAGTTAAACGACAAAACGGCTATGAATCTCTTGGTACTTGATGCTTGCAATTTTTCATTATAAGATCAATAATATAATAATATGTTTTGAAAAGAGTTACACCTGAGGCTTAATTGTTTTTATTCAAAGTATTGTGGTGAAACTTATCGTTATTCTAGTATTTTTCTATGAAAATTCATGTCTTCCAAGGAAATCGTTCAATATGTAGAAATGCAATTGCCCTACATTCAATAGAGTCCCTACATTCTCAAAAATTTCAAAAATAATATGTTGAGCGCGTGTGCACTTAAAATTCGTTGTTCATGCAAAACATACATTCTTCAGAGTCCTCAACATATTATTTTAAAAAATAATATGTTGAGCGCGTGCGCACTTTAAATTCGCTGTCAATGCAAATGCCGCTGCAAATAAATGAATTTTTATGTTAACTAAAAATTTCAACAACGATGCAGATAATCGTAGGCAGAAACATGTTTGTATTTAAAAGTGAAATCTTCCAGGAGGAGGCGGGTAGAGCGTCGTGAGATGCACGTCAGGAGCCACGCAGCGAGTTATGCCGCGCAGACTTCGGTCTCGCTCGAAGTGTTGCTCATGTTGATGTTGCTGCCCCTGTTGTTGCTGGAGGCTTTGTTGAGTTTGTGGGTGAGACTGAACTGTTTTCGGTGCCAATGGAGGTGGGCAGTCATCGCTCTCGTTATTCTGTATAGAAAACATGTCTTCATAAATATTCATTACTCATTTTAATTCCTATCATCTATTGATTTTTTAAAAAACTTTAAACCACTTATTGCAATTTGTCGCTAATTATTACTAACTGCCCTCTAATATTTTCTTCCTGACTAATACATTTATATTTAAACATAGGCGACTTTATAGATTTATATCAATTACGGAATATCCAAGCAAGCACACTACTAAAGTATAAACGAAATACATTTTTATATGCGAACCGCGTGATGCTCTCAACTAGAGTCTAGTTACATCTCGTAGCGCGTCTCGGTCATGCTCGATCATGTCGGTCGTTTGCAATCGCCTGCCATTGCCGATGTTGATCGTCGTTGGCTGGTCGTAGCTTTGTGCATGGAAATTCGACCCTCGCTGAAGCGTTGCACGTTGCAATGAACCTCTCTGTAATGTTGCCAGATGAGCTGGAGAATCTTTAGTTTTGCTGTTCGCAAGTGTCGCTCCTCTCAGTGAATTTCTTGACACGGCAGAGTCTCTGCAGGTGGTGGCAGCGAGCTGCAAGGTGCCACTCAGTTCTCCGTTGTAACGTCCGTCTATTGGACGTCCCAGAGTCCCGTCTATTGGGCGTCCCAAGGTCCCTAGTCCGTCGAGGGACCTTCCAAGTGGCCCAAGATAAGGAGACGCCACTGAAATTCCTAGTATGATGGTCGAAATAATTCATTTTAAATTAAGCTTATGAATATTTCATAAGCATTTAAAGCATCACGAACCAATTTGCAGCTGCACAATAACAAATTTTTCTAAACAGCGTACACATGCGAAAATACACAGGTCCAAATATATTTGCTTCAAACATCTGGTGAATATATAACCTATAAGGAATGATTATTGACTTTGAATAATCAAGCTGTTTAAATTAACTCATGATTCGTCTGATGCCGGACACCCCAAACTTTTTTATGATGGAAGCTCAGCATTTGCAGGTGCCATTCACCACCGATATCCGTCGCTTAACACCAATATCACTTGATATTACAATTCAACTATTTGCGGCTTGATCCAGGTGTTAAAAAAAATTTTCGTGAATCTGAAAAATCTCGAGTACTACAGTGATCCTGGTCCAAAAATTTCTGTCTGACCATAAATTTATTTATATATGTAAAATTTAACGTTAGAAATTTATATTATTTTCTGCACTATACCTCGTCTGCAGTTGCACATCTCGTGGTGCAGCGGGTCTCCACATCGGCTGGAAATGACCAGTTTGCGAATCTGAAAATGAGCATCAGAAATGCTAATTTATGTAAGAACCATTAATTGCTTTGTTCGGTCAGTTTAAATGCACCAAAAAACTATGTAAATTGCAAGTTTAAGTGTTATTCGATGTTTTAATTACCATAATATAACTTATGAAATGTTTTGGCACGTTTACAGGTATATTGCAAAATCAATGTGCCCGAAACTTCACCATCCTAATTTCAATTTAAAATAAACGTTAATGAGCAAAATGCATTTGAAATGAACGAATTATTTTTCATATATTTATTGCTCCATGATAGGCTTAAAATATTTTCAAAATAAGAAGGGTGAACTAAAAACAAAACCGCAATTTCCATTACTTTTTTCTTCTGCTTCCTGATGGTCCTATACAGAAGTACAACGATGACGACAAGAACAATGAAGAGCGCAGCCAGTACGATGGACAAGACGAACCACGCCTGCACCGGCATCAGGAACCAGTGAGGGTCTACTTTGTGGGTGGTTACTAGTCTAGGCTCGTACTCCACTTCAGTGATGTCTTCTTTGATGTACCTGTGACCAATCAATTAATCATGTTGAGTGTTTCTGATATGATTGTGAGCATGGTCTTAATACATTTGAAATCTTTTATTTTAACAGGTTTTATTGTGCTCCACCTGCAGTGTATTTTTACAGTGTTCCACATGTATACAAAAAATTCCCGATATCCACGGTTGCTTTTCATGGAACCGGCTACAACTTGTGAACGGTATTCAGAATGATAGTTTCTCGCGCTATCATAAGTAAGAATGCGCCTTGGAATTATAGAATTGACCGCTAAGTTGAGGGCGGTATTTAATGGAATGACGTTATAAAAACAACTTCTCCCGCTATCATAAGCAAGTATGCGCCTTAGAATTGTAGAATTGATCGCTAAGTTGGAGGCGGTATTTAATGGAATGACGTTATAAAAACGACTTCTCCCGCTATCACGAGATGACACCTTGGAACATATGAGGGCTGTAGGTTGTCCAGCAAGATACCCGTGGGGCGAGTGGTAGGTCTCCTAGTGGTGATTCTGTAACGAAAAAGTTAGTTAACTTAATTAATTAAAAGTTAATTAACGATCATTCCAGTGTATGCATTGAAAATTAGTTAAGCAATGAGAATCCCTCCAATAATAAGGTTAATTACTCAGAGCTTAATTATCTTATAGAAGACAGATCAATTAGCTAATCATTAGTTCTACAATAGAAACATAATATCAAATGAAGCTCAGTGTTTTCATTTTTACGAAGAATACTTCTTTCTTACAATTGTCAAGCAGCACTACCTTATTTTGACCTGACTGTCATAATCTTTCTTCAATAATAGTAATAATTATTATTGATGTATTAATTCAATTTATGTAGGTTTTTTGTCAAGTATTGATATTATTCTCAGGAACCAACCTGAACTGCAGGTACCGCGTTTGATCGTTTTGACTGCGCTGTGGTTCTGTAAATTGTACACAAATTTACTTCAAAAATTATTGAAATTTGAATGCATGGAATGAAATGGAGTTTTGTCATTCATCTACAAATTCTGCACAGCCCATTACAATTTATAAATCATCGGTAAAATCGTACCTGCTTTAGCGTATTTGCATGACTTTTGTAAACATGCCAACATCGATTCATTTTACGAATCTGAGTCATTTAGTAATCCAATGTCATGAGTTTAACTGAAGTGTGTTTTAGGATCATTACATTTATTATACAGTTATGTTTTAGAAATATACAACAAAAATTAACTGACCTAAAATAATCCACTTTGTGCGATATGCATTAAATTAATTAATGTGGAAATAAATTAAATACCTTACAGAAGTTACCACTGAGCGTAACAAAAATTGAAAGGCTTCCAAGTCAATAATAATTATAAGCAAATTTTTTATCCAATTTTCTTTGTCGTTACGTATGCAGAGCTTCAAGATTTTACTGGACCGTGACTAATATATTGGTATTCATACAAGATTTAAATAATCATTATTTACCTAAAAAATAATTATTTTTCACATCATCAGATCATCTCACCAGAAGTTCTTTGGTTCGATGAGCGTCCACGAGTTCTGGAAACTTTCAGCACATCGCGGTGGTCGGCGTCCGCGCTGTTCAGTGTGCTGAGGTGGCCTAAAGACCCAAGTTCTGATACACTCCCTAATTACGGTAATAAAGATGATAATTAATGTACTCGTGGTTTAAACTTCACATTGGAGATAGGAAAAAAGAATAAATATCAGTATTCTTTTTTAAACCACATAAATTGGAATGTCCCTCCGTTTTAAACGAAACAAAAGTTTATCCCTCGTCTTGCGTCTCCTGAATTGTTGTTTTTAATTCACATTTATCAAAAAATATTAATAATTTATCTTACTTTGTGGCCCCGTCGCATCGTCAACATAACCCCGGCGCGGTCCCTTTGCTGCGCTGCGCAAGTTTTCCTCAGGAGACTGCGACATTCCTCTGTTAAACCGTGACAATAATTATAGTTAATAAGTATCTCGCTTCATTGATTATGTTATTATAATACATAATACGAATTAACATATTCAAGAGTGACGGTAAAAATATTTGTTTTCCGACGTAATCAAGTTCGATTAGGTGGTGTATATAAAAGATAGGATACATCTGATTGGTCAAATGAAGGTTATTTTTCTAGTGCATCTCTTCTATTGCGAAAAAAATTCTTGCACCTCTATTCATACTGAGCAATGGTCATCTCGTACAATAGTATCTATATTTCGCAGCTTATATATGACGCATTTTTTCAGTCAATTAAAAATTTTATTGTGAAAGTGAAGACCGTAGAGTGCAGAAGGGTTTGTCTTCACTAAATATTTCAATCCTGGAATAAACTTAAGGAACCTACCTCTCAGTTGCGTACTTTCTTTTCGGCTTGTGATGTCGTTGGGCATTTTGTCGAATTTCTCCGATCTTCCCTCTGACATTTAAAATTGCCCCTTCATCGTTCGAGGCATGTTGTACATTCTCGAATGAACTATTTTCCTCCGTATATCGGACTCTTGTAGCCCTTATGTCGTTCACATCCTCTTCCCACTTCCACTGCTGCTGAACATCTCGGTGCCGATGAGATTCTTCTCCTGCATTCAAAGTTCGTCGTTCGACGAGATCTCCGTGGACTTCAGGCCTTCTTTCCAAATCACCAGCGTTGTATTTCTCTCCTCGGTCAGCGGGCGACGGGGAAAAGGCTGCTGGGTCGTCGGCTACACGCACAGGCACCGGCCTGTTGCGAGGATGGCTGGATGACACCGTTGCGGCGTACTGGATAACTGGCCGGCGAGGCGCTAAGTAGTTTTGCATGTGCGTATTCTCATTAGTGTCACCCGTTAGTATTCTGAAATATAAAGGTGCATTTTGACTTACATTTGAGGTTTGTTATGTTAAATGGTGTCTTCCATAACACTATAATGTAAACTATTTTCTTTCGAAGACATAAGAACAATATTGGTGTATAAATGTGAATGGGACTGCACATACCTAAGTGATCTATATTCTAGCTGTCTAGCATGTATCACTAACCACGGTTTCGAGATCAACCGGTTATACATAGGGTTTCATAATTTAATTTAATCCAATTTAAACCAAATGTCTGCTAATGGTAGCTCTAATTACTAAGCCTACTTCCCAAAAAGGATGCGTTATAGTGAGCGCAAAATGACTTGCACTGATGGTTGCCGCCACGTACGATAAGTTGATAACTTTAAAATGTTCACTGTTGCGCACAAAAGTACTAGTTTAAGTTGAAAGTTATATTCCCAGAGAGTGACACACGGCGGTAGGGGGTTAAACATAATTCAACTCAAATTATAAGATTAGTATGACGGAAATGTAAATTACTAAGAAAATGTAACAAACCTGTTCGTCATTGGTCCAAGTTTTTGAAGTCTCTGCCAATTTTGTGCCTGCAATGAAAATGCATTAATTGAATTGTTTGCTTAGTCAGTTATGACATTAACTCGCGCACTTTAATGTAAATTATCGCTTGACCTATTCAACTAATAAAGGTATCGTGAGTTATGCACGCTGGAGCAATGTTGGTATAGTTTACGCTTGATATTAAGATGTTCCGTGTCGTTTTCTTCACTCAGTACAATAGACACTGTAGAAAACAAATTTGACAGTAAGCAAAAATAATATACATAAAATAGAATATAAGTGTCGGCACTGAAGAAATAGGCCCATGGCCTGTTGCAGATTCTTGTACTTTTCGTGACTTGATCCACAAGGGGTCCGGCCTTTGGAACCCGATCTTTCCATAACTGACGATTGATTGAGATAGCTGCTGGACTTATTGCCTGGTCCGTAATTTGCTAGGCATTTTAAGACTGAACATTTGCTCCTGCTGTCCTGCATAGCTTCGTCTAGTCTGTTCTTGAAGGCGTTCATCCTCAGAGCGTCAACGATGCTAGGGAGGCTGTTCTTATATCATGAATTCATATGCATATTGCATGCGTGAGTCTAGCCTGTCATCTAACTGTCAGGAGCGTTTGTATGTTAAAATATAAAAAAACTGGCTCAGCTTATAAATTAGATCGGCTTTTCCTGTGATAGATCGTGATAATAAAGTTAATGGCATTGTGAGAAAGAAGCTCAAATGACACCTTTGTTCAAAAAGGCCGACAAGAGTAGCCCCGGTAACTATTGCCCTGTCAGTCTCAAAAAGATTGTTTGTAATGTAATGTAATCTGTTGTGAGGGATAGGATTAATTATCGATCACTTTACTGTTACCCATCCCCAATCAGACTGTCAACATGGCTTTATTGTCGGTAGATCCTGCACCACTAACCTCTTATCTAAATTGAACGATTGGACTCGCCTGCTGGACGAAATGGCATAAGTATTCGACACTGTTCAGCGTGAGCGGCTGTTGCGTGAAGTGAAGTCTTTGAGAATAGAGGGAAATGTACTCCTTCTAGTAGGTAGACGACAACGGAAGTCTAAAAGTTATTTCATACTATCGTCAGTTTTGAAATGATCCGGTCACAGGACCTGTTTTTAGACATCCTGTGAACTAGTCACGAAAAGTACAAGAATCGGCGACAGGCCACATCAGGCCTATTCTTCAGCGCCGACATCACTAGGATTTCATATGATATGATATGTACGCTGAAAAGAACTTCTGTCGAAACCCACGTGTTATATTGAACTTTATACCCAGAACTTTCATTTGACTCATGTTTAAAAATATTAAAAAGTATTTGGCGTCTTTTTAATCAAATTCATATTTTTGCTCAAATCCTTTAATCCCAGTTTTGAAATGTTTTACTATTCTCCCAATAGGAATAATTTTTCCTGTTTATGTAATATCCCAAAACGATAAGTGTCCCATACCGACCCTAATCAGCTTTAATTTGCGTGTATATACGGTGCCGGGATTAAGACAAACAAATGATTGCAAAAACTTAAAAATATATAGAAGATAATATCCAGTTCACAAGAAATTTAAAAGCAAAGAAAACACCAAGCAAATTCATCATATCGATATAATGAATTCAATCGATATGATGAATTTCAATATCGATATGATGGATTTGCTTGGTGTTTTCTTTGCTTTTAAATTCCTTGTGAACTTGCGATATAAGCAGACTGATAATTTAAGTACTAATATCCAGTTCAAGATAAACCATTTTTTACACTCAGGAGTTAGCTATGAGAAAAATATGCTGTGGGAATAGTTCCTTAATGACAGCTTGCTCGATCAGCCATGAATTATATTAATGAAGGATATATATTCCCTCGCTAGGCCGATATTTTCCTAGAGCAACTAGAGATTTTCCCAGACAGAGCAACTTCCTAATTCATGATTGAATTAAAAAGTTTATATCATTCTCAAATTTAATCTGGTTTTCAAAGGCGTTGATATAGAGATTGAACCGAGTTACACTTGTATTTTCAAGATACAGTATTAAGATCAATTTTTAAATTGCTCGACTTTGCAGCTTCTTCGACAATTTTTTCACGGGGAAGACATACTAATAAACTTGTCCATAATTTTTTCCCCGTTGAAATTTTGTGATCGCTTTGGTGTTTTGCTTAATTTACTACATGGATATTCAGTTTTCGTTAGTAACATTCAGAGGCTAGATTACTTGTTAATAAATTGCAATATAATATGTGCTCCCATTTTTCAACATTACATTATATTTAATATGGGCATCACTACCTTGTTCCGTGTGTAGTTATTTTAGAATACAGAACGAAATTACCGAGTATTACACAAGTTGTAATACGTGAACACACCAATATTTTAAAGCAACATTCTAATGTTGCTTTTCGAACTTCTTCTTCACATTATTTTACACGAAGATGTCCAAGTTTGTAGGCGTACCTCATCCCGCTCGGTGGTCTATTCACTTCGATGAATTGTAGCGGAGTTGAAAAAATACGCGAGCGAGGATCAATGACTGCGTTTCCGAGCGGAAATTGAAAATCAGTCGGCATTTCCTTGACGACCAAACATAGCGAACATTTTTTTAACCCGGGATAGCTCTATTCATCGGCAATGGAACCTATGGAATGAGCACAGACCTAAAAACTGAAATCTTTGTGCACTTTGACTGATAAGCAGGTTGCATTGAAGAACAGAGAATTACGTTTTATTGACAATTTTCTCAATAATTTTTTTTTTCAGTATATTGAACAATATTTGTCGTTTGCACTCGTAAATTGAAAATCAGGGTACCGATGGACAATTTAATTTCGTTAACAATGTTTCGAATGTATCAATCAATCGTTATCAAGTTACAAGACCCATTGCGAGATGAAATTTGGATCGACATCAGTACAAAATCATATAAATTGTATACTACTCACAAATCAATTTGGTTAGAAATAATTGCCAAATCATGAAAATATGAAGATGATAAAAAATTAAAACACCAAAAATTACTCCGAAAATAGTCTCAAGGTTCTGTCAACTCCAGTAGTTCGAAGGTTGATGGCTCGTGTCCTATCCCTAATGATGAGGGCCTCAGCTCTCGCGAGTCGGTTGGCGTCGGGGCATCGCATGACGAAGCTGGTGCATTCTTCCAGCACCGTACGAGTGATGGTCTCGTTGTAGGTCTCCATCAGGTTGTTCCATGGTCCACCGGACTGAAGGTGGCACGTGTCCAAATTAGGGAGAAGTCTACAACCCTATCTTTTGCAGGAAAATATTCCAACAATGCTGAAAAATGTAACGCGTCGTCAGCAAAAAACTAATAAGAAAATGGTCAATTAAACAAATTTTCTTGTCTTCAATGAAAATGAAAAAATTCTGCCAACCTATACTAATTTGACTTAAAGGTGCACATTTGAATGATTGGTACCTGAATTCATCGAAAACATTTCAGCACGAATTTCAGTGTCCTAAAATTTAAAGTTCGAATGGTTTGCGAGCATCGGGAAGCGTGCTCAATAATTGAGTGTGAAAATGCAGTTTCTGTAACATAAACGGATAGAATTTCTGAGCGAGGTCCTCGCAATTCCACAGCTGTGTTGAGCGGCGTGTGGTCTCCAGAATTCTGTTTAAAGCGAAATCCGTTATTGTCGCGTAGCGTGCAGGAAGCCGCGTGTCCCCGATGTGACTGATCGTGCGGAGGAAGTGAACAGATGTTCGCGAGTCCATCTGTTATGTTGCTGTGTGATTTGTCAGACGAGCTCCAGGAACACTTTAAAAGCCTAAAATTATTTTAAGTTTTTACCTAAAGAGTTCTTGTGGCTTTGACTATGTGTGGGCCTGTGATACGATGTGGCAGTTATCGTCGAAATAAATCACGATTTATGAAAGAAATTTTTTTAATTAGATCTAAAACTCCTTTTTACGATTAATTTGGCTTTTTTATGCACACGGCAAGCAATATTTCGTTTTTGCTTCGTCAAAATAGCTTTAAATGAGTCTAAGTATTTTATAGGATACTGTCATGGACCCAAACTCGAAAATTAATCAGCAGATGACCCTGC